AGCAGGGATGGGGGCCTCGTCCCTAAGGGTATGAGGAGAACATCCCCCATGCTGGCACGGTCCATGGGCAATGGGATGCTTTGGGGCGCTCCCGGCTCACTGCTCCCCTTTTCTTCATACCTCCTTGGTGTGGTGGTTGTCTTTCTTCCCCGCCTTCTCCTGCTTCTGCTCCGGCACCTTGCTCTGCTGCTGGCTTAGCCAGCCGGCCGTGGTGCTCTGCCCATCACTGTGGACCCGCGGCGCCTCGCGGGCGCTTGGCTTGGCCAAGCTGCCCTGGAAGGGAAGCAGAAAGCCACTGCTCAGGGGGTGCTGGCAGAGCCCATCCACCCCATCCTGCTTAGCCCGAGGACTTCACGGGGGGCCCTGGGGTGCGCAGGGAGCAGAGGGGTTCATTTATGCACGTAGGAAGAAATCCCAAGGGCAGCTGGGAGCTCCGGGCTTTCGGCACAGGCCAGGGAAGGGGTTCCCACCGCAGCGCTGGGTGGGAGAGGAGAGGCACCTCCTCCTCCCCATCCTCTCCGGGCCTCTGGGGGCTTTAGGGAGGATGTTATGGCAAGGCCATAAATCAACAATATACATTGGGAGCTAACTAAAAATAAGTCATCCCACTAACACGGTACAAGGTTGTCTGTAAACGTGCCATGGGAACTGCTGGCCCCAGCTTGTCCCGCTGAGCGGGGGAACCAGCAGCGCCCACCACTCCGCTCTTGCATGTGCTCCAAGGAGCCTGAAACATCTCATCCAAAAGCAGAATCAGCCCAAAAGAGGGTATGGGGGAGCAGGAACCTGGCAGGTGGGTTTTGGCACTCACCAGGATGGGGATCCAAGTGGCCAGCTCCTGCCCTTTGGCTTTGGCACGCTGGAGGCTTTGGGTGGTTTGCTGGTAAGCGCGGTGGGAGACGGTGCTAACCAAGGTGCCAATCCGGCCCAGGGTGCTGGGAGTGCTGGGAGCACTGGGAGTGCTGGGCTGCTGCTGGGAGACCTTTACTGCTGACCCACGCGTCTCTTTGGGCTTCTGATCTGAAGGTAGAAGAGCATGGGCAGAAGAACGGTTGGGGGGTTTATGTCCTGGTGGGACAACCCTCGTAGGCAGCCCTGCTCAAAAATCCAGGGGCTTCCTCCTGCCACGTGCAGCCAGCCCTCCCCAGACACCCTCAGAGGGGATTTGGGCATCAGGACTACCTGCTTCTTCATCCTCCTCTGGCAGCAGGTACTCCATCAGCTTCTCCAGCCCTCCCAGGGCCGTGTCGACCCCTGCGGCTGCCATCTGGCTCACCGAGTTCCTCCTCGTGTACCTTGCTGTCGTTTCCACCGTGCTCTTGGTGGCCTCGTAGCCCTCTGCCGCCAGCTCCATGATCTTATCCATGGAGTTGCCAATGGTGCTTCTGGCGCTTTGGAGTGGGGAGGAGATGGTGCCCTTCAGTTCAGACGCGAGCTGCAGGCGGAGAGATGAACAGTCCTGCTGGTGTGCTTGGGGTGGCATGGGACAGCCAGAGGGACCGCGGGGACCCCAGCCATGGCCATGCCAGTAGACAGCCCCAAGAGGGGCATAACAGCTCTCTCCAGCCTGGGTTGGAGTTAGCTGGCAGGGATGGGATGTAGGATGGTGTTGCCCTACATTTGGAGCGCCCCAACCATCCCCTGGACTGCAGGTGCCCCTGGAGGAGTCCTTGCTTGGAGGTGCTGTCCTGTTCCCCCCTTGAGCAGCCCATCACCATCCAGAAACAAGACCAGAGGTGACGTGCTGTGGGCTCTGCAGAGGGGCCGGGGTGTCCCAGACTGTCCTGCCTGTGACTTACCTTGTCGACAGGGTACTGGAGGGCAGGGATCTTCTCCTCCAGGTGGTCCAAGCCCCGGCAAGCCAGGTTGTTAGCCACAGCGACTGCCTTGGGCAAAAGCATGGGGGTGGGTTAGTAAGAAAAGCTCCCGGGCTGCACTAGGGGGTCTCACATGCTAGTGCCAGCGCTGTCCCACCAAGGGTGGCTCTGGTGCCTCCCCCCCGCCATGTCCCCCCGGTGGATGGACTCACACTGAGGCTCCAGCCTGCGCACCACGGGCTCCATGCTCCACATGGCCAAGGCGCCGGCACCCTGCACGCCCCGCTCGTAGACCTCACACACGGAGGCCATGAGCGGGTGGGCCTCCTTGGTGCTGGCATAGGTCCGCTGGAGGCTTTCGCAGGTCGAGCTCACCACCGGCAGCTGCAGGACCCTCTGCAGCACATTCTCCTGCACATGGCAGACAGGCATTGGTTAGCCAACAGCCATTCCCCGAGGAACACCCCATCGCCCACACACCGGTGGCATTTGGTGTGTTGCAGTGACCACAGAGGACCTCAGCTCACGCTGGAGGAGGAGGGCATTTCTCGAACCCCACTGAGGGTCTCCCAGCTATGTTGCGTATGGCACAACCGTGGACAAGCAGGCTGGCTGCTGCCGCTGGAGGAGCAGGGACATCACAGGCAGTGTCGGAGGGGTGATGGTCCCCACCCCCCCCATCTCCTAAGCCCGACAGTCCAGGTGCTCCCTCTGGCTTTCCACCCTGCTCTGCTGCTTCTTCCACCTGACCCAGCCCTTGCTCCTGTCCTTGGACCAGCAAAGTCCATTTTGCCTATGTGGCACCTCTGCCCTGTCTGTCCTGTCACCACCGTGACAAGTAAGGGATGTGGACCTCAAAAAGGAGAAGGGGAGAGAAGCGGGTCTGTCCTTGATGGCACAAAGGGCTTTGGTAGAAGCCATTGAAGAAGAGGGCACCAGAGCTCTCCGAGGCAGCAAGGCACTGTGTCCCCACACCCTGCTAGCATGGGCGATGTGGAATGCCAGTACAAACCAGCACAGCCGACACCTGTGTGTGCTGCCAGTGCCAGATGCACGGCTGGAGGTAGGTCCCTCAAAGCTGGGTGTGCAGGATAAACCTGCAGCTCCAACCCTCCGCTCCTGCTCTCGCCTGGCGCCCACTTGGCGAGGTGAGACAACCGAGCGAGATGCTGCAGCCCCCAGGGAGGAACGGGGCAAACGTTGGCTTGTCATAGCAGCCATGAGGCAAGTGCTCTTTGGGTTGCACAGGACAGAGCAGAAGAAAAAGCTGAGCTTTCCCCTGATCACCGGTGGTGAGAGGCTGAGTTTGGCTTTCACGTCCCACTTGTGACCGCAACTGGACCATGAATCGGCACGTTTGATAAAAACTATATTGTTTTGTGCTGTATTTTGTGCTCATTTTGGCTTGACGTGGAGCCAGGCCTCTCACAAATCCCACAGTTCAGCAATCCTGGGGGCTCTAGCTGTTCAGAGCAGCGCTGCATCCATAGCAGCATGACGGCTGGAAGTTTGGGGTCCACAGCGGGGACACAGGTGAAGGACAGGCACTGCCGGCAGGTATCACCAAGGGCCTGCATCGCCCAGGGTTAACTTCCTTGACTCTGAACTATTTAATTTCAAGTATGCAAAAGATTTTATCCTTTCCCTTTGATGATGCTCTATATTATTGCAGGTAAAGATCCATATAAAGATAACAGGGGGACACGTGGGACAGCGTCAGATGTGACTCAAACGCAGAGCTGGTTCGAGCACCTGGACTGTCGGGCTTAGGAGATGGGGGGGGGGGGGACCATCACCCCTCCGACACTGCCTGTGGTGTACCTGGTGCCCTTGGCACACCTCTGCCCTCCTCTCTCTCCCTCTTCCTGCACCCACCTTGGCACTTCCATTCTGCAGAGTCTGATTCTTCTTCGCCGTCATTGCGACGCATCCACCTGTAAAGCAAAGTTGGGAGCCGCAGACCCTGCTGAGAAGGCAGGGCTGGGCTCGGGCTCCCTTCACTCACTCCTGCACCCCCCAAGCACAGCGGGGCCGGGAGCTGGGCTGAGACATGCACCTCCCGTGGGTGCAATGGATGCGGCATTGCCTAACACTTGACTTTTTAGCACTTAAGCTGTAAAACCAATGATTCCACACAGCCCTCCCCGGCTAGTGTGTCCTAACACCCAAAGATGCAAAAAATGAGTTGAGAGGCATCTAGTTTGGAGGAGCTACGATACAAGGCAGGATAAAGGGCATTGGCAGAGCTGTAAAGCAAACTCAGAGCAACCAGGATACTAATAGATGTGCACGGGGGCCAGACTGGGAGATGCAGGCTGAGAGATGTAGGCTGAGAAGGCGTAAGAAGGCAGGAGAGGAGCAGAGAGAGGAGCTGTGGGTAGGGATGCAGCGATCCGCCCAGCCGTGGCCAGCATCCCCCTCCCACACATCTGCCCCGCAGCTCTGCGGCTCACGATGCCAGCACTCGTCCCTTCAGAGCCCCAGCTCAATGCGGGGGGGGCAAAAGCACCGCAAAACACCCGTCTCCGATGCTCCCGGCTGGGTGACACCCGAAAGCCCACCTCCAGCTCCCACCCCCGGCACAGACCCCTTTTTCTCAGCAGCAGATGAAATTCAGGAGATTTAGGGAGTGCGGGTGATCCCTGCTCTCACCCCCCACGCTGGTCCCGCTGAAGCTGTCCCCCGAGCGCCCGGTGGGAACAGGCTACTCACCGAGGGGCAGCCCGTCCCCGGCAGAGCAGGAGCAGAGGGTGGTGGCTGCGCCGTCCCTTCGCCTGGGTCCTCTGAGAGCGATGCACGGCGCCCTGGCCACTACCACCACGAGGCCCCACCTCCCAGTTGCACGGGTTTGGGAGCTGGCGAGTTGTGGTGGAAACTGGCCAAAGAGCTCCCTGAAGCCGCCGTAATTTGGAACAGATGACGGCAGAAAACCCCCTTCGTCGTCTTCCCTGCAGAGCCCAGAAGCTGCGGCACAGCTGGGATGCACCGGGGTTTAACGCCACTCCACCAAGAGAAGATGAAAAGAAGTCACCCTTGGACTCACCACCTCAAAAGCAACAGATCATGAGCAGCCAGGGAGAAGGTGAAGACTCAGGCAGGGTTTGTTACGGACAATGGCGGGATGATGAGTGCGGAAGAGATTAAAACCCTCCTGTATTTCTGTAGCCCCTGTTACCCCCGTGGTGGACCAGGATCCTATCCTGTTGGGAAACGCAACACAGACCAAGAGCATAATTTCTCCCCAGGAGAGTTTACTAAGCACAAGGAGCAGAAGGCAGACATGGGGGACACATCCCGCACAAAACAATCTAGTTTGGCCAGGTCTGCAATTTCTAAAAGAATTCACCGAGGATTTTGGCGAGGAGGCTTTTAGCTGAGGGTCAGGGCAGACATTGCATTAGGAAAACTCTGGGCATTTGGAGTAGACAGAAATGGAGGAAAAAATCAGGTTGGAAGTGATCTCTGGAAGTTACCTCATTCAACTCTCGCTCAAAGCAGGGCTACCCTCAAAGCTAGATCAGGCTGCTCAAGGTCTCATCCAGTCAAGTCTCAAAAATCTCCACGGATAAGATTCCCATCTCTCTGGGGCCCAGCTCCAGTGCAAACCACACTCACGATAAACCATTTTTTCCTTATGTCCAACTGGAATTTCCTCTGTTGCAATTTCTGCCTGCCACCTCTTACCCTTGTTCTCTGCACCTCTGAGCGGAGTTTGTGCTCTAGTCTGCGCTGCTACGGCATGTGCTCCGTGCCCCTCAATGTCTCACCCTCCTAATGATCCTCTGCTAGACTCTCTCCAGATCATCAAGATCTCTCCTGTGCTGGTGGGGCCAAAACAGGACACGGTTCCCCAAATGTAGCCTCGCAAGTACTGCATGGAGAGGAACAGCTGCTCCCCTTGACCCACCAGTGATGCTCTCATGATGCTCTCATGATGCTCTCCTGCTCTTTTGCGGCCAGCCTGCCTTGCCGTGTGGGAGGCACCCTGCCAACTCACAGCATAATTAACAAATCCGTTTGCGGTATTGATCGAAAAGAAAGAAGGCACCACCTGCATGAAGCTGCGATGGGTTTTGGTTATTGACTACGGAGACCAAGGACAAGCCACACTGAAGAGACGAGGACAGCATGGTGGAAAGAAGACAAATACCAGAGGACAAAGCAATAACCCAAGGGGATCAGTGCGGATGGGAGATCCAGGCAGCCTGCTGACACAAGGCTGCTGCGTGTCCTGGACCACCCGGCGCAAGGCAGGGAGACCCTGGGCGTGCAGCTGCCCAGCATCCCCGTGCAGGACACGAAGGTGCGTGCCCAATGCGCCTGCATGGCTCCCTGCTCCTGGCTGCGCTGCTCGTACTTGGGGGTGGGAGACTTCCCAGGGACGTGGGAAAGCCACGCACGGGAGAAAAATACCCCCTTTCTTCCCAAAGAGCCTGGAGTTCGCTTCCAGCCCCGGGGCTCTGCAAGGCTTGCAGGCCTGCCTTGCTAGCCGGGTGCAGAGGCATGTGAATGTCCTGGTCTGCCTCCAGCTCGGCGGCGTGGCCAGTCGCTGCTCTCCAGCCAGCGGGACAAAGGGCAGCAGCCTGCTCCAAAGTTTGCTTTCATGGCACCGAGACATTTTCCAGCCCCGCTGGCCTTGCTAAAAGTGCAGGGGGCATGCCAACCCTCTCTGCCTTGGCTGGAGCTGGGATCAACAGACAACACGGTCTTTGCCCTACTAATGCCTTCGCTCATCCCCTCCCCTTCCTCTGGGGCAAAGGCTGTGCCAGCCCCGGGGCTCTGCAGTGCAAAGGTACCACCGCCTCCACCCCACACCAGAAATACTTTCTGTGTTTCTGCAGGCAGCATGTAGAGCTCACCGGATCAGCTGGGTGCAGGCAAGCAGAGTTTTACACCCTTGTCTCCGCAGTCTGCTCCATAGCCACTAGTATACGACGGTGAGGGGACGAGCCAGACCCCCAAAGACCTGCAAGGCATCTGTACTGTTAGGTCTGGGAGGGGGCTGGAGAGGTAACTCATTTATTTCCATGCCCTATAGCAGGATCAGGACCCCCTAAAGAACTGCTGGCAGATGTCTGTCCAGTTTCTTTTTAAGGACTGCCTTGCCGGGCAATCCATTTAGTCTTTTATTTTGCTTACAGTTCAAAAAAAGTCACCTGTGTGACTTAATTCTCCTTTGCTGCAATATAAAGGTATTACCTCCCGGATGGATTTAGAGACCAATTTGTTGCCTTCCTCTTATCAGTCCACCTTTTAGGCACTTGAAGACTTCTCACACCCTCGCCCAGTCACCTTTCCTCTACAGAACCGGTTCATTTGGTCCCTCCCTGGAGATGTTGGTTTTCAGACCTTTGATCGTTCTTGCCGCCCACCTGGGAATCCCAAATGGCTCACGCATTTTCTTGAAATGTCACGCCGAGCACGGTATTAACATTAGGAAGGCCTTGTCTGTAAGCAGAATAGAAGATTACTTTGCACATCTCACGCAGAGCACTCTCCTGTTAACCGTTTCCATTACGAAATGTGTACGAGACCAGTAGTTCAGAAGGAAACTTGCTAAAACATTGCGAAATGCAACGCTTTATGCATTGTTCAGCGACATTTTGGAGCTTCCACGTTCGCAAAGCCCTTCCTGCAGGGGATAGGAACTAACAGTAAGCCCGGTTTTAATGGTTATCCCGGCTCCATCCCTCCCCATCTCAGCTGGAGATGTTACCCTCACTCCCTGCCCTGAGCAGGCGTTTGTTGTTAATCAGCTGCAGCGATTTGCCCTACGACACTAAGACCCATCCAAACGAAAGGTTGTTTACAAGATACTAAAATGCAGGCGCACCCGTTCCTTTCACCGTAGCTGTGCCTACGCGGGGCAGAAGGCTCCAGCTCTCTCCGCTGGTACTCAAGGGCAACTGACGGCAACTCTCAAAATGTCATTTTGCTTCAGGGCGTGTCATACGCAGTTTTACCAGGTACTCACATATTTACGTCTTCACGTTTTTGCAGCTGAAATGGGGATTGTCAACGGGTCTGACGAATCTGGCTGCCACCTTGCTACTGTGAAAGGACAGCTCTATAACCCAAGAGCAAATATAGGCAATGTCTCTTTAACATCATCCTTCGTAAAATTCAGAGACGGGGGGGGGAGGATTCCTCCTTCAGCATCTCTTTTCCCCACCCTCTAAGTCACACACAGACACGGTGTCGCACTCATCTCAGTTTATTGCTTGTGTTCAAACAGCTGTCCTTATTCCAGCTGCTGTATTAGAAACAGATACAAAAAAAAGGCACTGAAAGGATTTTCTCCATTTGATTGTCCTTCTGTGGCTTCAGTCATATCACGTTAAGGTACATCAAATTGCTAGCCTCCAGCTGGGGAGCAGAAGGCAAGTATTAGTGCTTAACTTCCAGTAAAGAGAGTTACTCCTGTATGCTCCAACCCACGTCATGTAGAATGGGACAGGTAAGGCTGAGACAGGCTGAAAATTCACTGCCCCATCTCCCAGGTTAAGTCTGTACTTGCTAATCCACACCAGTCCCTACAGGAGGAACATCAAGGCCTGGCTCACGGCTTTTGCATGGTGTTTGCCCGGCACGGGGGAAAAAACCACCCTTCTGCCTTGGCAGGGCACGGGGAGGTGTAGCTGGCTAGGGGCCACATCAGTATGTTAATGCATTTCCCTTTACCTACAAACTGCAAGTTCGCAAACCAGTGAAAGAAGTATTTTGTACCTGAGAGCTCCCCTGCGAGGAATCAAAAACGCATTTTTTTGCGAGAAGATGAAATTCTGTAGACAAAGGGTGGCCAAACCTCCGCTGCCAGATCATCAAGACTCCTCCTCCTTCCTTACAGTTGCTGCTACACACAGGGATAATGACCAAATCTGACCAAGGGGGGGTGGGCCCCACAATGCCGGGAGCTCAAAGGCAAATGGAGTAAAGAAACAAAAAATTTCCATTGTTAAAAAGGAGAGGAAGCCCTTGAAGACAACATATCCCATGTGTAATGCTCCATTATGGTCTGAACTGCCAGTACGCTCTACTTTTAATGGTATTCATTTCCATATTAAAAAGAAGAGCTGCTGCAGGCCACATTTGGTCTTCGAGAACACTTAATTACCCTGCCCAGCAACTTCTTTTTTCAAACACTTCACTGGCAGGCTAACACTTCAGATTCAAACTGGAAGTAATTCCAAGCCTGACCACAATGACTTAAGGTAAACTGGGGCACTGCCTTACCATGCCTACTCAATTCCACAGCCTTCTCCTTTTAATAAAGGAGACCAGCGCCTTTTAATTTTCAGACGGCATCAGAAATAATAAGAGAGTACCTTGGTCCAGGGTAGAGTAGTCTCTGCTCACATCTCCTGACAGATTAAACAAGGAGCCCTTGCACCAGAAAGCAGCAGAACACACAGGCCTAACTCTGCTGAAGAAAAATGATAATTTTATCTCCTATATAATGAGCAAATTTTTTCTCAGATGGTGTCAGAACTGGTACCCTGCGAAGTCAGGAGCAGCAAAGACCGCATGCCATGTAACTGTTAGACAGCTGGACACAGCATTTCTCCTTTAACCTAGATTACCCTGCCAGGCAATCATTCCCAGCAAGGTAAATGATGAGCAATAAGGCAGGTGCAAACGTAAGGCGTTTTCAAATGGTAGAACCCATTCAACCAGCGAGGGAACGCACACGAAATCTTGTGGTCATGAAAGGGAAGGATAGGGAGGACCAGACAGGGACTTCTAAACCATGAATGCCCAAATCCAGTAATAAGCTTTTCTTCTCACAGGGAATTCTGATATTATCACGACCAACTCCATTCCCCTCCCGCTGGGAGCTTACGCAAATAGAAACACACCCTCGCAGTTTTTCTGACTCAACAAGCTCCGAGCCAGGCTTCTCTCCTTAACTGCTGGTTCCAAAGCTCCTTATTATAATGGAATTTTTCATGTAAAATTAAAACAGCAAAACAAGCTCCTTATCACAATATGATTAAAGGGAAATTGTTGCACTTGGAATCTCAGGGGTTTGGGAGTTAAGGTGCGTGCGTAATGGGAAATTTGGTGCTATTGAGTGGTTCCAGATTCACAGCTTTGGAAACCCAGTTCCCTACAAGTCACAGCATCATCAGCACTCAGACAAGCTTCTCCCACATGCTGTCCTTCACCAAAACCCTCAGCCACGGCCTGCTGGAGAAGTCAGACTCGGTGGCCAATGGTCCTTGGCTCACATTATTGCAGGAAAAGAAGAAAGTGCTGATTTCCTGGGCCACGAGTTGGCAGTCACTAGACCACAGATCCAGCGTCACCAGTGCACGTTACACAGAGATCATGGGAAGGCCAGGTCATACCACTCTTCAGTTACCATCACGCTGCATTCAAACCACTGCCTCAGATAACAGGATCCGTCAACCCAAACCCATCAGAACACTCGTACTTGACTTCAGGCCATTTTAACCGCAGGTCCTAACTTGCCTGAGCCCACTATAGAAAATCTCACTGTAGGAACCTTTGATTGGTGAATTCCAGCTTTCCAGTGTAAACACGATTAGTTAGGAGTCATATACCTATTACAGTTGTCTATGCAGCTATTTCACAACCCTGTATTAAAATATAGGAACATCAGCATTTCGTTATCTAGCAGCCATGTTCCAAGTCCCGTTTCTGTCTATGAAATACTACTCTGCCTTCTCCCATCTTCACTCCATCAGGGAGTGTGTATTGGCACCAAACTCACCTGCAAAAACACAGGGAAGGAAAAAGGGTAGAATTCACTTATTCAGAGGACAAAGTTAGTCTTGAGGTTACTGTGAGACATGTTCATTTTGAAGGTGCCCTATGGAGGATAAAAACCTATCAGAGGATCAAGGCTGTTGGCTCGCTGCACACTATGCAGCTCCTTTTATGTCACTGTTTCAGCTTCAGATGTGGGCTTGCTAATGTGAGGATCCCCACCAGGGAGGAGAGGATGCCACAGAAACCAATCACCCCTGGGTTGGTCTTGTAGATCCCTAGCGTATCCAAAGGGCCTGAGAGATCACAGAGATTCTTCACCAAGTCCAGCAGCAAAGGAGGATGTCTTTTCAGTATTTGAAACAGCAGGAGGAGAAAACCGTGCAAACCGTCACATTTCACACAGTTTAGATCCTGGTTGTGTTTGTCCCAGAAGGATTTCTCCTTTGTCTTTTCTTCCTGTACAGCTTGTTCCAGCCTCCAGGAGATCTCATACCAGTCCCTGGCCAGATTCATCAGGAGCGAAAAGTAGTAACACTTGGTAGCCCAATTCCGCCACTTCGGCTTATCGACGTCAGGTTGGAGCCCAACGCTCTTCAACCACAGGACCGCATCGCAGACGAAGTAGAGGGCACGGGTCAGGTTGGAGGCTGTGAGGCAGAAGCGAGGAACCACATCTGGCAGCTGTGTAGTCCTCCTGGCTGCTACCAAGGCGTGCACCATGTTGCCCAGTCTGAACACTGCAAGAAACCCCATGAAGGTTAGCGTGGCCTGGCCTTTACCGCAGAGACACAGCCCTACGCAGGACAACTCGGCATGTCACTGTCCTCGTGTACTTTTAAAAAACTTAGCGGGCTTTGGGCATTTGTATGCTTAAACATTTTCTTCTCACAGCGTGAGATGCTAGTCTTAGCACGGAAAGGGGTGTAAACATCTCCGTTCTGTCCTGCACCAGCCCAGGACCTACGCACGAATTTTGTCAATAGCCAGGACTTGCAGCCTTCTCCTGCCGCTCTGTTCTCAGCGCCTGGGTGCCCTCTGGGCCAATATCACCCACGGCTCTGAACGAGTCGGCGTCAGCAAAAAAGTGCCACAAAGAGAGCCTCCCATTTCAGCTGTACGCTGCACCGGATTTCACCTAACTCTGTGGTCAGGAGATGTCACCGCACTAACCCTGTCGCAACCACGAGCTGCATCTGTCCTAAGCTTCTGCGAAAGCTGGTCGCTCATGTGCCAAGCACGCCGAGACCCAAGTCCCTCCTCAGCCATGAATTTGTCAGCGGTACACGTAGTTCCCTGCAAACAGGAACAGCGTATTCCATTTCAAGCTATAATATATGGCAAGCCTGATTTCATCCGCTGCACAGTTTAGGTTTCACCCCGTGAATATTAACACAATATTATGCAAAATACTTTTCATAACCCGCTGCACTGTCACCGTGACAGATGTTGGCAGCACCCGAGCTTAGTGGAACTGCAAGAGTCCTGAATTTAGGCCTGACGTCTATCAGAGATTTGTTTAGCAGAAGCAAGAGAATTACGGCTATGCTGATAAACCAGCTGGCCTCTCTGCTAGAAATTACCATACTCTGGAGCTAACTGGAATAATAAAACAAATCCATGGTAACACATTAAATGAGAAATATTTGCCTCGTATATTGGAGTTGTTCCAGGGTCGAACAATTGATAAGTAGGTGTAGGACCAACCTGAAAGCCAGCAATACAACCACAGCAACAGCGTAACCGTAACGGATGCAACTGTGACACGGAATGAAGCGATGCATATGAGAAAAGTACGGAAGGGTAGATGATTTAGTAGAGTATAAATGCTAAAGAAAATTAGTATGTGAAGCAGGATATAAAAAGCCGTATTGAAGGATGGTCCTTCAGAGGTGGTTTTATTGGGGTGATGATCTTTAACGTTAGGCCATCTCAACCCATTAGCTGGAAGGACTAACGAGGGCGCAGTAAGCCAGCCTTGCATCATAACTCAATGGTCTGTCCTGGAATGGAGATGACAACTTGGTCTCTGCAGCAACAGCTGACTGTTAACTTATTTCCCTAGTTCTCCCAGCGATAATTCAGACTGCCTAATCGGAGAGGAGGCCGAGGAAGTACAAAATGTCTGTTTGGCCCTACCTAGCCCGTCAAGCCAAGGCAGGGATAAGGTCTATCGACAACTTTGTGAATGTACTAAGAGGTTTTGTGGCTCAAGGTAAGTTAACCACAGAAAAAGCAAGGCCGGGAGCTGTTTTGCTGGAAGGAGCAAGTGAAGAAGGACTTATCCCTCTAGACACCAGGTACTTACTTTTCCGGCCCGAGCTCATGCTAGATTCCAACTGCTTGAGTTTCATTGCCAGCTTCTCTTTATCAGCCTTATGCTCTATTAAATAGCTAAGCAACATGCATGTGTACTGAGTGGCTCTGGAATGGAAAAAAGGAGGAAAATGGTACACAGGTGAAACACGGACAATTCACAGGAACGGCGGCAAGCGGGGCAGCCTTTGTTTCCGAGCTTAAGGTCACCCCTCTGGCAGCCTCGCGGTGCCAGGGCGAGTTATACCCAGGGGAGGGGGCACAGGCGCAGGTGGGGCGGCTGAGGACAGGCAAAGCGGTGAGCAGCAAGGGATCGGTACGGCAGGAGGGGGGCCGGTGCC